ATTTTATTAACTATACCCTTCCTTGCTCCGAAACGACTTGTTTCAATAGGACTACTAAGAAATAGTCCCGCCCTCCACCGCTGTTCGATTTTGAACTCGAGCCCACGGTTTTGATAGATGGAAACGGGGCAAGTGAATTGATTTGTTTCTCACGCGGGTCACCACCTCAAACGAAGCAAGGATGTAACTGCAACTCTCTGGGACTGAAGCTTCAAACCACCTCCATTTCTAAGTGGCTTTGGAGGAGCTAACAATGCCCATTGATAGATTAACAACAGCTGGAAGACAAACACTAATATATGGTATATCCCTTCAACTCCATATTCGATTTGTTTGCATTGATAAAGTTGAATGAGGAAGTTAAAAATGGTGAAACAATATCTTAAATCATTTTCATACAATGAACAAAGATGTGCGTACAATTGTAAAAGAAAAGAAGGAAAGCAGTCACAAGCTCTCATACACTGCAACTATGACACCTAAAAATACCGCAATTACCAGTAGAGTAACATATATAGGCTGTTTCTTTGGTTCCATGACCTGTGCATGCCTCAATGGCCCTGATGCTGGCTGAGGAGGATCCCCAACAGCGCCTTTAGGAGCTGTCAGGAGTGAACCGGGTAAACTTCGTGGTTTGTAGGCATTTGGACTTTGAAGTGCATCGACAGATTTCATATGGCTTTCGATTGGTAGCGCTGTGGAGAGGGTGAGGGTAAGGACGAAGACGAAATATATGGTGAGAAGGGACAGGGTTGGGACTGATGGCCCGCGTTTGGAGGTTTGGCGAGAAAACATTTTTGGGGTTTGGTTGGTATGTGATTGGCCAAGGACGGGATGGACAGATCATGGAATTTTTGATAGAGTTATTGTTTTGAAAGTGGTTTGGGAATATGTTAGGTTGCTGTCTGCTGTCTGGGTGTTCGAGTGGAAGGCCTAGCGCAACACAAAAGAGAAGAGATCGAGGAAGGGAGGCACTGGCTATAAAGATACAACCAACCAATCCTCAACATGTAAAATGGTTGTTCTCAACAGAAGTATAGGGCTGTGAGAACGTCAGAAATAGCCAACATCGTAAGGCTGCGATGGCTAGTCTTGCGATGAACTGAGAACATATGGTGCTAGGATGGATATCTTTATATTATCCACGAGCTCTAAATCTTTGGTGGGGAAGACCAGGGCTCTGGACACGCTAAGATATCCCGGCGAAAAATAATGTTCGTCTGAGGCTGCATTATTTGTGACACAGCTGAGTGGGGGGTTCTCTCGGTTAAATATACGAAGAGCATCCGGAGATCCTGATAGCTAACGGATATCGAGATCAGCTACCTTAATGATGGAGTTGGCCATTTTTTGCGCATGTCAAGGATCTCCTGTTGATACCATAGTTTCAAAGGAAACATAGCCTGGATAACTACATCATGGAGAAAAATCCAGGCAATTATTTAAAGATTAATAGTGGCTAGTTTCTCTAGCCGTCCTTGAATAACAACCGGATCTCCAAGAAGGGCAAAGGGCATCAACGATAACTAGCCCTATAGACATGACCATCGGACCGATTTTGCTTGTGTTCCGAATATGTCGAGAGAAGTATGGGATTTTGAACTTATTGGTCTTTTACAACGGCTACGCTAATCACGTGTCCGTCTCCCTGTAAAACCTCGGCTAGTTAGTTTTACACACAACAACGTTAATTTCTCCAAGAGGTTATCTCGCAACACAATCAAGGCCTGGTGGGAGAGAACATTTAAACATAAAACATCAAAACATTGCACTATATCAGCCACGGCTCAAGAAGGCACCTTTGGGATATAGTTGCAGTTTACCCTTGCCCACTCCTCCCGTGGACATTGGATGAACATGAACCCTCGAAGTGATTTCAAATGGTTTTACATTGTAAATGATCCTTTTGTGAACCAGTGGAATTATTACGGCTATTCTGCGGTACCTTGGCGTTTATCGACAACGGGCCGCGCGGTACAGTCACATGCCTCGAGTTTATTTCACGTGATTCCGAGAAATATTAAACCCAAAACGCGTGCATAATTGAACGTCGCGCCGGTTTTGTGCTCTGTTAGCCACATTGGATCTGGAATGTCGAAATATCAACGAACTGCAAATATTAGAATGTTATTATGGCTCATTTTACGTTCTTCTAGTAGTTCGCGGAGTACAGTCGTAAAAGTTCCTGTCTCAACTTGTTAGGATGGTGTCAGATAATCCAGAAGAGCAATTCCTCCGCCCGCCAAGGTGCGTTCCCGAGATCCAAGATTAGCAATGCAGCATGACAGACTGGATGTTATAAATCTTCTTTAAAGGTCCCTCATTGACTCTTTGATTTCTTTGTAGTGATGAGGAGGAGGATTATGCTCCTGTGTATCGGTCCCCTTCCGCATATTCACCGCTCTCTACATTTATCTTACCAAGGGGTGAAATGAGGCACTTTCAGCAGCAATATGCTGATATTTACTTTTTGCGATTGGCGAGATTGAAGCCGGCAGTTTCTGAGATTGCGGTAGCTGCATGGGAAGGGTTTAATGTAAGTACATTTCCCCTTGAACTGTTCTGGGATTGTTGGCCTTTTCTGGGCAAGCGTTGAAGATAAACCGTCTCTCTCTTTTATATTTACACCTCGACTTAATAGTGTTGGGCACTGATGAATTCATGCCATGTACAAAATGTATGCTGACTTATTAATGGTAGATTGCTGGTGAGTATGCGAGGCGTGTAGACAGAGTCTTAGACGTGCGGCAAGGTGAACTATGTTGGGTTGCTGGCACCGTCTACATGGATCTTCCATTAAAACCTAATATTCTAGACGATATATCAAAAGAAGTAAGGCTTGCCGGGTCAATATTTTGCATATTATTTCTCCTTCAAATTCTTATCTGTATAATTTCTACGTTCTTACAGATCTAACCGAATCCTTAGCATTGGACGGCTGCTCCGCCTTCACGCAAAACATATCTCGACCCTTCCAATCAAGCATCAGCAAAGACTATGCTGGAAGATGAATCGGGTCGTTTGCAACTGACTGGCACTTTGCTTCAATCGGCTCTTTTAGTAACAGGAGCCATTGTAGCCGTCCTTGGCACCGAGAACGTCAATGGTGATTTTGAAGTCATCGATATTAAGGTGCCAGATCTACCCGCCCAACCTGAGCGTTGGGAGAGATCATCATCGGCCCCTCAAGAGTCCGCTAAACGAAAGCATGGCTCCTTAGAACACACACGTGGTGGCACAGGGGGAAAAAGAAAAAAAATAGCAATGGTCAGCGGCCTTGGTATCACAGGCACATCAGGGGATACCGTTGCGCTGTCTCTATTAACAGACTACCTTCTCGGCTATAATGAGCCTCATCTAACTGCTCAAACTAATGAAACCAATTCCCCTCCGTTTTCATCTCAAATAACACGCCTCATAATAGCCGGAAATTCCCTTGGAAGCAGCATACTCTCTACCCAATCTGAAGCCGAAAATGGGGATTCCACTATCACAGCAGCGAAGAAACGCCACGGGCCAAAAAAATACGGATACGACGCCGCAGCCTACAATGCCTCCCCAATAAACCACTTCGATACCTTCCTCGCTGAAATTCTTCCAAGCATTCCCATCACTTTGATGCCTGGCGAAACCGATCCAGCGAATTTCTCATTACCCCAGCAGGAAATTCACAGAGCCATGTTCCCCCGTTCAAAAGCCTACTGCTCGGCAGCGCGGCCAGGGACGACTGGAGAACCTACAGCAGAACCTGGTTGGTTGGATAATGTGACGAACCCATGGGAAGGAGATGTAGAGGGCTGGCGATTTTGGGGCTGCAGTGGACAGAATGTTGACGATATGCTTCGTTATATCGATTTGGAGGCGGAGGGAGATGGCCTAGGTGGTAACGAGAGTGATAGGGATGGAGAGGCGAGATTGCGTTTGATGGAAGCTATGCTCAGATGGCGGTGCGCGGTGCCTACCGCGCCTGATACGTTGTGTATGTTTTTACATATCCCTTTCTAGCGCCCGTTGTTATTATCGATATTTCCGTTGCAATTTACTATGGTATAGGCTTGCTGACGTATTACTCTACAGGGTGCTACCCCTATCAAACGCACGACCCATTCATCCTCCAGTCCTGTCCGCACGTTTTTTTCGCAGGGAACCAGCCAAGTTTCCGAACGGCGATTGTCGAGAGTTCCGCGGCGGTTTCTTCGTCAGGAATTGGTGATGAGCAGGGTATGCGGGTACGTATCATTACTCTCCCGAAGTTTAGTGAGACTGGCGAAATTGTGCTTGTTGATGTGGACACGTTGGAGGTGGAAGTTGTCAGGTTTGGAACTTTTGAGAGGAATGCGGAGGATAAATTGTCATGACACAATGGGTTTCAGTTCGTCGATTGAAATCTTATAAATATCCTTATAATATCTACCTCTTGTGGTAAGACATGGAATTGTGTACGTTTGGGTATCAACGGGACGCATATTAGAGAAATAGACTCTGATAAGTGGGTAAACAATAGTGAAGAACGCTCGAATCACTTCTTGATGGAGATATATAATTTATTTATCCTTCCCAATCAAATTAGTAGCACTAAAGTCGAAATCTAAAAACTATGTATCTATGCATTCGGATGTGGTAAAACCGTTGGGAGGAGAGGAGGAGTTCTTCACAGCTTCCAGAGGTAAAAATATTGCCAAAATGTCCCAACCTAGTCATCTGTCTACTTCCAAATCCTCATCTTTTCTCATGTCAAAGAGTTCAAGTTGGCACCTTGCAATATGAAAGAAGAAAACAAAAATTGAAATCAACTCCCGCTCTCCTCTTCAATCCTCCATTACATCATCTAGATAACAGCAGTCACCAACTACTTACCGTTCTACATATTCATGTTCAACTTTTTAAATGTTTTACGACCTTGAAAATTCTGATACCCCTCTTTAGCCCTTTCCATCAACAATCCCACCATCAAATACCATGCACACATGATTAGACCTCCCATTCAGCTGTGATACACGATGCTGGTCAACGAAAAAACTGGTAATTATGCAAATATCACCTTTCATACCTAACTCCCAAGTTGATAACATTTATGGCCATCTTCCCGGCATCACGAATGAAATGTAGCCCATACAACATTTTCCTAAACGTACACACACACACACACACACACACACACACATGTGACGTCGACCAAATCTATGTAAAGAATGTTTCTTGTTAGAAAAAGCAGCAATCACAGCACAACATCACCGTTTTTCTAGAACTCTGCTTCCTCACAACTAACGCTCATCCATGAACAGCACTCTCCTCCTCCCGCGTCCTCCTAGTTCCGTATTGCAAACATCATGTCCCACGGTATCACGAGTGGATGAAAGATCCGGTATGTATATGCCCCTATCTTCAAATATATTATCCACTACTGCACACAATTCGTATATCTTAAAACTAACACCTTAAAATTATAACCCAGGAAATCCAACAAGCAACCGCTTCAGAACCGCTCATGCTAGAAGAGGAATATGCTATGCAAATCGGCTGGCGCACAGACGCGGATAAATTGACATTTATCATCTGCCTACCGCTTCATGAATCTTTATCATCATCGTTATCACGTCCGGACACAGCTGCTGGTGCTGGTGTCATTGATGATATCCAATCCACGACACTTACCGATCCAAACATCGACAGTCCAGCTATGATGTTGGGGGATGTCAATTTGTTTTTGAGAGTAGATGAACAAGAAGGTGGTATTGGTTACGATCACGATGCTGATAGTGGTACGAGAATCGTCGGTGAAATCGAACTTATGATTGCGGAGAAGGAAAAGCAGGGGAGGGGTTTTGGACGGGCTGGTCTTCTTTGTTTCTTACGATATATTGCTGATCATGAGGAGGAGATCGTTGGAGGGATTGTTTCTTCTTCCTCTGCCACCGCACCCGCTTCTGCTGCTGGCAATGGCACTGAAAAGGAGCAAGGGAGGAAAGGTGGGAAGCTAGCATATTTATCTGCGAAGATTGGTGCGGATAATGTTCGGAGTTTGGCTTTGTTTGAGAGTTTGGGGTTTAGGAAAGTGCGTGAGATGGCGAATGTCTTTGGGGAGCTGGAGATGCGTAGGGAATGTCTGAGGCGAGGGGAGGGGGAGGAGTTGTTGGGTAAGTGGGGGGTGGAGGAGTATAGGGAGGTTAGGTATGAGCGGTAAGGCGTATTTGTGAGAAGGATGGGGGAGTGAGCAGATGGTTTATATGACTGTCCATGTTCCTTCAGGGGATTCTGATGAGTGGATATTAAAGTTCAAAATAAGGGCGTGTTGATGAAACCATCCGGGTTTATATATAGCGTCAAAAAGAACCTAAGGTCCGAAATCGAATGTAGTAAAAGTTGTAAGTTGTATCAGAGGAATAATACATGGACAAAAACCAATCTTCATTTCGAACGGACATCGAAGCCATTGGCGAGATTCACACCGACAGAATAGACGCAACTAAACGGTTCTCTTTTCCAACGTAAAAATTGCCATTATATGGCAGTGAAAAGAAAGGAAACCCCGGGCCTATCACTGGATAGCATAATTTCCTTCATTATACGGGGTAGTTTTCCTTAGTCGATATAACCACTCTTGTTTTGAACACAGAGCCATCTTCTAACTTCTCCAGGGATGTATTCGAGAATGGAAAAGGTGGGTATATATATCTTAAACACACAGTTCAATCTTGAACGAAGGATATTTCGGATACATCATTAAATTTCGCGTCCGATGCGAGGCTTTTATCATTTTCATTTTCATTATTTTTCAATATATTTTTTTTTTTTTAATTTAATTATTGTACCAGTTCCATGCACAATCCCCATCGCAACTCCCCTTCATATAGTCCTCCAAACCATCCCCTTTACGTGGACTTCTTCTTGCCCTTGGAGACATCGGCTATTTTGAGAGCTGTATATTGTCGCATGTTAGCCATCATCTTTCGAAAACCCTATATAAAAATCCAGTGAACCGCCATTTCTCTAAGCCATCCGGGATCCTCGAGAACGGCAAAACGGCAAAACGGCGATTGAGAGGATACAGGCACGTACAGGGAGGTAGACTTTGCTTGAGCTTGTCTGCCTTGTCCGAATCCTTCAGGACTAGGGTGTAGATGAATCGTTGGCATCGGACCTTGAACTTGATCTGGGAGGTCTTGCGGTTGCGCTTGATGCGGGCGGCTGTGTTTGAAATGCATCTAGTCAGCTTGGAGTTTCGCTTTTTCTTTCAAAGATTTCGTTCCAGCATCCGCCGCATTTTGGTATTTTCTCCTTCATATCCCAAGCATCGAATAACTTCTCGCATGTCGGCATGGGATTGTTGGGGAGCGTGGGGAAACTGACAAGAGGCATCCTTCCGTCTGCAGATCTCGATGAACTGCTTGATATCTGAGACTTCGCTAGGCATGATGGGCGGGCGGATGGGGATGAGAGTTGGAGTTTTGGGAGGTAGAAGCGGGAGGCGGAGGTGGATGGTTATATTTGTCTGGACGTCGCAAAGCAAAGGAGAGCAGAGCTCTTCTTGGCCTGGTATCTGGGCTATATGTATGTAGGATTGTGCGGTGTAGATTGATTAGGGCTTGGAAAGTCACGTAGCCCTCAGCTGGGCTTAAAGCGGCAGGTTGGTCTGTGCGGAAATAACCTCGGGGCTTGGCATGGAAGCCATGTAAGGCTCGGATTAGTCATCCAAGTTGGAACAGGCAGGCCGGTCCCTCACGGTGAGGAGACGTGGTGTATAGGTATAGGTATTTATGAGGGAGCGATTATCACCCCTATAGAAAAATACATTTCTACTCTCTTGTCAGATGGATGGACTATAGCCAACACAACTTCAACATGCCTACCCAACTGGATAAAGCTTTGAATTCAAAGGTATATAGAGCCATCAATATACGTCCATTCTATATCATGTTTATGCTAATCTTTACTCCTCAGAACCTATTCCTCGGTAAAAATAAAATACAACTCTTCAGCAGCTCCGCTACTGACCATCTATCTGCAGGATTCGCCGGCCTGGTAACAGCGGCAGCAGCATGGTCCATCTGGGGTGGCGAAATGTTCCCTGCGGCAGACTCTCTGTCAGCTCCAACTGGAGGTATGTGCTTTAATTCCCTGTGGTGATCCTCCTCCTCTCCGTGGAATTTGGAACAGACCTTTATTAACCACTCTTCCAGACCCAGAGAATTGGGCAATAGAGGAACTGAGAAGATGGCTTAGTTCGGTACGTTGGCCTCCATTTGTTATATTGCGTTTCGGAGGCATTCACCGTCTTAACAGGTTCATGTGTGCAGCGTGATCTCCTTCCAAACCCAAATGCGTCGAGAGGAGATTTGATCGAACGTGTAAAGGCGAACATGAGGCTTCCACCACGGTCATAGTGGCCTCTCCACGATCGATTCGTTTTTTTCTGTTTCGTTGTTTATTTCCCGTCTCTAGATGAAGCCCTTGTTTCCGGTGTATATCCCAACAAAGTCCTCTCCGTACATTCAGAGTCTTCCCTGTAAACTCAATCCGTTTTTGTAAGCCCGCGTAGACTTTATATATCCCGCTGCCGAGAGCACAGTCGGTGTCCAAAAGCAGTGCAAAAAGCCCTTGACTGTCGCATATACCGTAAGGTTTCTAGGTCTAGGAGATCCCAATAACTTCTAACGGCCCCCTTTGATATGATCCCTTCACACAACCAACCTAAAATTCTGACTCTGAATCAACCAATGCTTCTTCCCCACCGCCTTCCCCCCATGCCCATCACTCTGCGGATTTGGCACAAGAACAAACGTCTCACTGAACCCCCGGTTCGACAAACCCCCGGGATCCCTCTCCTCCCCAAACCGCACGGACCCGCTAACCGTGACCAAAATCGACATATTCCTTGCCACATCTCTGCCCGATAACGGTCTGCTACCACCCGTTGCGCCCGATGATGCATCAAGTCCCGGATAATTCATGTTGATTATTTGGCAATCGTAGGCCTGTACTTCGTAGTGGGTGGTTGGCATTTGTTTTGCGAAGATTTCTTGGACCGAGGGGCCGTCTGCCACGACGTTGCCGTTGAAGAGTATTTTGCAGAGGGTGGGGGGTGGAGTGTAGAAGGAGGCGATGGTGCTTCGGGAGGCTTGGAGGGCAGGGTAGAAAGATTGCACGAAGTCTGTGGCGGCTGCTTGGGGGGGTTAGATATTTAGATACAAAGGAAAGAGGGGGAAGAGGTCCTGAAGTTTGATTAGAGATACGTACCATCTGTGGAGATCTTGGTGAGCATGTCCTCTGTTACTTGGGCCATGGTGGAGGTCTTTATTGTCCTTTGTTTACGTTGAGGGGTTTTCCCGCTTGGAGAGAATACAGGCAGGCAGTAAAAGAGAAAAGGGTGAAGAATTCAAAAAACAAACGAAGACAAGCCTTCACAAATCTTCCAGCCGAAGTTAAGTAATGTTGCTTGTCGGTAATGGGGGTTCGGTGGGTTCAGATAGAGCAATATATGTACGAAGACATAGGTAGTTGATGTCAAAAAAATAAAAATAAAAAAAATAAATAAAAAGAAAAAAGAAAAAGCTTGAGCACATAGCTCCTTCATTGTTGTTCTTTATCGGCCATGTGCTGTCAGTTGCGACGTAAGCGTTAAATAACCTGCACGGCTCGGACAACCATGCCGGAAATTGAGCTTCGCGCTGTTTCCAGAGCAGCATGGCTTATCAAGTCCACGGGCAGGCGACCTTGGATCTGTCCGCCATGCAGAAACGCTGTTGTTCGGAGAGGATGGCGGCGCGCAATGAGCAGCGCTCCGCAGGTTGGCGATAAGAAGCCATTCTACGTTACCACACCTATATTCTATGTGAATGCGGGTGAGATTTTGTCTTATTCCTTTTCCCTCTTTTTTATGTAAATTCAATTGATGCGTGGAGGATGCTCAGCTAACTGGTATATTCCTCTTCTCCATAGCTCCCCATATCGGACATCTGTATACCATGATACTTGGGGATGTTCTGAAACGATGGCAGATTCTATTGGGCAACACGGATGCGAAGCTCCTTACAGGGACGGATGAACATGGTTTGAAGGTTCGATTGGGATAAATGGGCAAACGGGCGTTATTTGGGAAAGTTTTGTTGAGTGCTAAGTGTTTATAGATTCAACAAGCGGCTGCGGTGGCTGGGATGGCCCCCCAAGAGCTATGCGATCAGAACTGCCAGACATTCAAGGTATGCCAATGGTCCCCACTAAAGACGCCGTGAGAGAACTGCAGCACGAATTTTGTGGGTAACAAATTCAAGAATCTTGCCAGAACTGTCAACGTGGAGAATGATCACTTTATAAGAACTACGGATCCTCAGCATAAGGATGCCGTACGGCATTTTTGGGTATGTGGAGGGTTATGTATGGAATCTCCATACGAAGTATATACATTGACGTTTTGCATTAGGATATGCTCAACCATCGCGGCTACATATATACAGCTAAACATGAAGGCTGGTATTCCGTCAGCGACGAGGCTTTCTATCCTCCGTCCGCTGTCCAGCCTATCCTTGACCCATCAACTGGCCGGAAAATAATTGTATGTTCTTCCTTCCTTACCGGCCCCTTGGGATCTTCCCCTTGCTGACATGCTTTCCCCTCCCTGTTCAGGCGTCCATAGAAACAGGGAAAGAAGTGCAATGGACGTCCGAGGAGAATTACCATTTCCGGCTCTCTGCTTTCAAGGAGCCGCTGCTTGAATATTACAAGAATCACCCCAACTTCATTACACCGAAGCGCTATATGGATGACATGGTGAACGCTGTCTCGTCAGGATTACAAGATTTATCGATTTCACGGCCTGCCAGTCGGCTAAATTGGGGGATTCCGGTCCCTTCCGACGAGTCGCAGGTCATCTATGTTTGGTTGGATGCCCTGATTAACTATATCACCTATGCCGGATACCCCTTTCCTCCCGACGCCAAGTCGATATGGCCGGCAGACGTGCAGGTGGTTGGAAAAGATATTTTACGGTAAGTGTATATATATATATCGATATCCTTTTCTTCCGCACCGTCACACATACTTCTTCCAGCTAACGAGGGCCAACCAGGTTCCATTGCATTTATTGGCCGGCGTTCCTAATGGCATTGGGGCTCCCACTGCCTCGCCAAATCATGGCGCACGCTCATTGGACCATCAACAATGAAAAGATGTCCAAGTCGACGGGCAACGTCGTCAACCCATACTTTGCCATTGAGCGTTTTGGCGTTGATACGGTGCGCTTCTTTCTCGTCATCGATGGCGCCCAGGTTTCCGATTCCGGTTACGACAACTCATATATCGTCGAGAGGTACAAGAAGGGCCTGCAATGGGGCCTTGGGAATCTTGCTAGCCGTGTGCTGCGGGGCAAGAAATGGAGCGTGCGGAGCAGTGTTGTCATGGCCGGTGAAGGGCGGTTCCAGAGGACGGAGCATCAAGATTTCCTCGAGTCGATACCGGAGAAGGCCAGGGATGAGATGAGGCAGCTGGACCCACGCAGGGCGCTCAACAGCATCATGGAAATCATAATCCAGGTGAGGAAAACGGGCAAAAAACTGTTTGCCTTTTTTTTCTTTTTCTTTTTTTCTTTTTTCTTTTTTTTTTTTTTTAATTAAAATTAAAATAAAATAAAATAAAATATATAAAAAAAAAAAAAAAAAAAAAAAGAACCCTATTTTGCTGACGAGAACTCCATCCGCGCGTCTAGACCAACAAGTATTTCCACCAGATGAAACCTTGGACCCTGGTCATGTCCAACCTGGTCCAGCTGAACAGTGTCATCTACAGCACCGCAGAATCTCTCCGCATCGCAGGCATCCTCCTGCAGCCATTCATGCCCCAGAAATCCTCCAAGCTGCTGGACATGCTGGGGGTTGAGAGGGCGGCCGAAAAACGCAATGTCGACGCGGCCAAGTTCGGCAGGGATCTTGATTACGGCGTCCCCCTTGTCGATCTGAAGCGTGGGACGACCGGCACGTTGTTCCCTCCGCTGATAAGCGAGGAGTGAACGAGCGGATCGACCTGGGGGAGGAGTTACGGGTTCGGTGCGGAAGGAAGGAGGAGCACGTAACCGGGAAGCAAAAAGCAGTGTGGATGGCAGTGGGAAGACGCAGGGAGAGAGCATGAGAGCAGGAGAGCATGAGAGCATGAGAGTGTGAGAGCATGAGAGCGTGAGAGCATGAGAGTGTGAGAGTGTGAGAGCATGAGAGTGTGAGAGTGCTCCTTTCCCGGCTTGTTCTGGACTTCCCCGGCTTGGCGTTCTGTCCTTTGGGTTTTCACTGTCATGCGCAACGCGGACGCGAACAACATGTCTTGCTTTTCTCCTGTTTTGCTTCCCTTCCCTTTCCTTCCTTGTTTCTTGGTTTTCCTTTTATGTTCCTTTCTTTCTTTCTTTCTTTCTTTCGTCTATCTTTCTGGTGGAGCTCGCGTGTCGATCCCGACACAGAGGACACGAGGGGAGGTGATGTGTAATCAATCCTAAGTAGACTGGAGCTAGTCCAGGCTTCTTTCTGTCTACGGGCGTGGAGGGATCTTTGGGCGTTTCATTTGGTTTGTCCGTCTCTTGGTTGGTTTTGGATCCTTGTGCATCGCTTGCTGTCTGCTGTCCGTACTAGATACCTAGACGCTGTATGCTGCATACATACATGCTCACTTGCTCACTTGCTTACTTCTTCTTACCTACTTCTTACCCTCTTCCTACCCTCTTCCTACCCACTTCTAACCTACTTCTTATCTATTTCTTACCCACTTCTAACCTACTTCTTACCTATTTCTTACCTACTACATGCATACAGACACCCCTCTATATAAAGTTCCATCGGAAAGAGCACAAGCTTGCTGATAGAAAGCGGTCACATTGCCCCGCCATTATTACCGCTGCCGAATCTACCACACACTACCACCCCAAATATAGCGCACCCACCCTTTAGGGCCAATGGATCTATCAACATTTACAATATATGGATTGTCTCGGCGAGCTTGTGGGCGAACCACTGAGGTTATGAGGATGACTTCCCCGATCTTCTACTTGGATGAATGGGAGGGATTTCAGGTCTGTTTATTAAAGAAGTGTAAGCTTTGGGATTGAAGCTTTAGATTGTCCCCATTTGATGGAAAAATCTCCGAACATGAGATGTTGTTATATACCAGCCTTCTGAGAGAGAAGCTTGCCATTGGACATCTCTGCTCTCACTGTTGTAATTTGATATACCTTCACC